CTTGGTAGTTCCGTTGCTGTCAATGCAGGGTCAGAAAGCTCTCAGATTTCATCAAAAATATCTTAATTTGTGTTCTGAAGATGAACAAAGGTCTTAAGTTTGGAACGACGTGAGGGTCATTTTTGGGTGAACTATCCCTTTAAATCACAGAATGCAGAACTATAGACCTGAGAATAGAAGAGTTAGTTATTTGGCATTTGTAGTGCAGAGGCCCAATCTGAGACGCAGGGGTCTCATGGTGGGTAGAGCCTTCATCAGGAACCTCTCTGGGCAAAGGGGGGCGCTCTCGAGGCTTTGAGCTCATCTTCAGCTCCATTACAAGCTGGTCGAAAGGTTTCCGCCTTCCTACCACTTGCCGGCGCTGATGGATGGAATGAATCTGCAGCAGAGGAAACACCAGCAAGAGATTAATGCTTTGGTCCAAAATCGCTCAATTTTTTATGCTGGTGTACATGTTTCTGTATATTAAATATAAACACTCACATTACAGGTCAGCAGTCTGGTGCACAGTTTCTTTCTCTCAGGATCCATCACCCCACAATGCTTGTCCAAGTCACATTCTTTCTCTGAAATAAACAAATTGATTTCAACAAGGGAAAACATTTGAAACAAACAAAAAAAAAACCACTGTAGACAAGTATATTCAAAATGTTTATGGGAAAAGTAAAATTCTGGTTACAATATTTGAGGGATTTCTTTAAATACATTATTACTCTATGCATTAAATTCAAAAGTTAAGTAAAGACATTTATAATGTTACAAAAGATATGAATTTCAAAAACAATTTTTTTTTAAATTCATCAAAGAATCCTGAAAAAAATGTTTCATGGTTTCCACAAAAATATGAAGACAACTGTTTCAGCATTGATAATTATAAGAAATGTTTCTTGAGCAGCAAATCAGCATATTAGAATGATTTCTGAAGAATCATGTGACACTGAATACTGGAGTAATGGCTACTGAAAAGTCAGCTTTGCCATCACAGATTCATTTAAATGGACCATTTACAGATTCACAAGACTAAAACTAATGACACACTCTTAAAACACTTAATGGTCAAATAAAAAGGGGATTTAAAATTAATTGTAAGATTAATTTTAGACTGCCAGCAAAATCATTAATATTTGAAATATCATCCATGTTAATGTACAATATGCCTGAAATAATAACAAACCATTTTGTTCTCCATTATGAGTTGCATCAGTGACTTACTAAGGACATTATTGTAGGTTCTGCTGTACGTTCTTGGTCCATGCGGGTGAGTGTGTGAGTCCAAACTTTTCTGGATTGGTTTCATGACTGATGGGGCTGCTTTTTTTGGTGGCGTGGGCAAATGTAGAGGTGATGGAGGGGTTTCACGGGAAACTTTATCCACCTGCTGAAAACTGGAAAATAACATTTGAATGAAATGACACTGGAATAAACAGTGGATGCGTAAGCTCAAGTTAAACTGCATTTCACTCCTCCTTACCTGATTCCTTCACGATGTGGTTTGGAATGTCTCTGGTGGGGATAATGAGGTGGTGGGACTCGTGGGGGGCCAGCCCCCTGGTGCCTGCTGTCTTGAACCTCACAGAGACTTCCATGTTGAGAAGGAGGTCTCCCATGTTGGGGTCGGTTAGGAGAGCAGTTGGATGGCGTGTTGTAGAGCTCACTGAAGAGGCCATGACGACGCTCACAATGCTTCTCAAACGCCTGTGGCTTCACCACCTGCCCACAGTGGCTGCACACCACCAGGAAGAAGTCATCATGTGCTGGGCAGTGGCCATATATCGACATGTCTGTGAGGGCATGAAAAATGCTTTTATGTGTGGCAAGGGTTCACTCTGAATGTAAAATCTTTTCATTCATCATCGCAGTCTGACAATCATAAGCCTAACAAATGCCTCCTCACCCTCTTTCTTAAGAGTCATGGTTTCCATCCGTTTCTTCACATTTTTGCTGCACTCTTCCAGACAGGACCCTAAAACAGGCAGTGAAACAAACAGCCCAACAAAACATTAAATGAAGCACGACGCAAAGTCCATTCACACTGACGCTCCTCTCAAGTATCTTTTTTTTTTGCTGCACAAGGTCTGTGTATTAGCTTGGTTAGCTTCTATTCTGAAGTTGAGAAATTTCTCAACTTCTATTCTGAAGTTGAGAAATTTTAATAATTATGTTAATAACATAATTATTAAAACTACAATTAAAATGAAAAATATAAAAATTAAAACTAAATAAACATTCAAATAAATACTAGTATGTGCATCATACTAAAATAACACTGGTGAGAACAAATGCATTGTAAGCAATGCATTTACTGTGCATAGAGGTTGACTGAGTCAGATTAGGAGCTAGTAGGCGTGAAATGAAACCCGCATTTGTGAGTAGGACGGAAAAAAAAATGGTTGCCAAAAATAAACTTTAGTGATGAATTTTAACCACAAATGTGACATCCCTTTACATGTTGTTGGCCTACATTTTTTCCAGCAGTTTTTAGCAATTTTATTTTATAAAATTAAATTAAATATACTTTATAAAAACTCAATTATATTTGGTTTTATTATTTTAATATAATATTATTTGTAACTCATTTTAAGTCACATCCAGCTCCAGCTCTATCTTCAGCCTAACATCTTAAGGTGAGCTATTGGACTTCCAGGGTGGGCTGTATAATTGTGAAGGTGGTTGAAGTGAAATTCATGAGTCATGACAGGGTAATTCCTGTAGACCCTGGACTGTTCTCTTAAAAGTTTGTTGATGCCCCCTAGTTGGCCCTGGTCCCCCAGGTGAGAACCGCTTTACACACACCATCAAATGCCAAAGCAACAGTGCTTAATGTTCTCATTTCTAATGACCACAGGCAGCTCACTGCATTCATTAATACGGGACATTTCCTGTATTACATCAACCACATACATGAGAAATTACATAGAATTATTATTATTAATCCGTTGATAAGTAAAATAGATGGAGAGAGACCAACTCAGTGTGCTATATACAGATGTATTGTAAAAAAAAAACATTTTTTTTAAATAAAAAAAGTCAAAGGGGAGTTTGATGTGAAGATGCCTCTTGATTGCTGGCTATTGCATTGGGAAATATCAGCCCAGCGTTTCATAATGCTGTCACCGCATGATAATCTGATCATAATGAGATGTTCTCGCGGCGAACAGAACAATTATAAACCCGCGAGTGAGTAAATGGGTTCAGATGTGTATTTATCTTGATAGTTCTCTGGCCGGAGACTGGTCTCCACCTTCACTTCCCGTCGAGCTGGCTGTCAGATCGCCTAAGATGACATACTGAGCCGCATCTTTTGGCTTTAAAACTATAACCAACACGACAACGTACATAATGAGTTCAGGCACATTATAAGCTAATTTTCAAGACTGTATATGTTAGTAAAGCCAATATTAATCGGCTAAACGGAGCGCTAGGACCTGGGAGATTTTCCAAAAGTAGTGTGTGGGAGTGCAACCCATGCGGCGCTAGGACCCGGCGGGGCCTTTGTTTGGGTCGTGGTGCCGGGGTTTGCCCTCTTTAAACGAATCCATTTCCTGTGCTCGCTCGACGCGATTACAACCGAAAGTATCGAGAGCTCCACATGATTTTACTCACCCTCCGGCGTGGATACGTTCGCTCTGTCGATCCAAGCGGCCCAGCTTTGCCCTACAAAGTCAGCGATGGAAATCCGCCGATCTAGGGCAGCCATTACCGATTTAGCGCGTGCACGATCCGCCACCATCACGACGGGAGCGCACTGCGACGTCATCTTGCGCGCTCACGACGGATTACCTTCTAGCGATGGGAGGTCCGAATCAATTCTGCGAGTCGGTTCTTTTGAAATGTTCGTTCCAAAGAACCGGTTCACCCAAACAGATTAATCAGAGATGGTACACATTAATAATACATAAAAGCAATGTAAAATGTGCCAGATTTAGCCAGGGTGGCTAATCTTCATCTGTAGTCTATTAGCCTACATAAATTCAACATTTTTAAACTTGAAATCCGTATATATGTAGGCTACACAACTTTGCTTTGACCACAAGCATATTTTCTTTTCTTTTTTCTTATTTATTGGAGAAATAACAATGACTTTTTATATTTTTTAATTATTTGTATATTTTTTAATACCTCAAAAGGTAATATTTTTGACTTTCGACAAGACCGTTAAGACACCACATGAAGAGGCACAAAAATGTTATAGATATTGCCAAACTTCCTCAGTTCACAGCACATTAAGATAATTGTTTTATATTACAAGCTTTCTGAAATGAGGCATCAATGAGGTGTTAATGAGGCATCATCTAAACTGCAGGACGGACATTGGATGAATCCAGATTTAAAATTTCGGTTTCATTTTACTGACATAGCTATTTTTTTTACACAGGGGGTTTTGGATATCTCTTTCTCACTGCATAAATCAGAAAATACAACAGACAACAACAACAACAAAGATCCCTTTACAAATACCTTCAGAATATGGAATAAAAGTTTGGTGGATGTAGGCTACTAGAGATTTCTGGCTCAGTCAAAAATCAAGACTCAAATTTGAAACTGCCTTTAAAAATAATGCGTAATAAAAAAAAGAAGACATGTTAAAGAAACAAAATAGCCCAAATGTCAAAAATGGACAAAACATTAAAAAAAAAACAATGGTTTTGCCTGTAATGTCTTGCCTTTAAGTAAATCCCATCCGTCAAATTCTCGGTTCACTCCAAACGCTTTTACTATCAATATAGAGAAAGAAATGTCCGACTCAACAGAAGACTTGTTGAATCGAGACGCGCTCGGATCGATTCGCGAACAAATTGTTCAGTCTGTGAACGGATTCAACGATTCATTGAAAAGATCCGACTCAAAAGAACAATTCGTTCACGAATCGAACATCGCTTCAAGCTCGTGTTCGTGCACTTGAAACGCTGGAAATACCCAATTTTTTAAATATTACATCATAATCTGTAAATTCTGTAAAAAACAAACAAACCAAAAACAGCTAAAAGAAGATACATCCTTTTTTTTAATAAAAACATCCACACAATTCACCAACAGTTGTTGTTCACAATAGCAGGCTGACACTGTGAGCATTAAGATAATAAAGAGATTACATTTTGGCTAAGAATGTGCTTTGCCTTTGTAGCCTATTTAAGTCAATTAGAATTAGAAATTAATTTTCATCGGTCATTTACCAATTAGAAATTAGAAGAACACGTGGGCCAAAAAACAATATGCACAATAAAAACAAATCCTGATTATTTATTTAAGGCCTCCAGCGTTGTTAAACAAACAAAAACAGTCATTTTTATCATCAGTCGTGCCTGATATGATGTAAACATTTACTAAATATAGGCTAACTAAGTTATAAGGCACACAGTTCATATGGCCATTTCAACCACAAGAAGCACAGTGGAAAAGTTAGCTGAGATGATATTAACTAAAACTAACTAAACACAACAGCATCAGGGAACATCAGAACAGCAAATTCAAGTTATAAATCAAATTTAAAAAAGAATACTTCAGTAAACAGGAGTCAAAAACATTCAGTACATTTTGTTCATGTAACAAGGTCAAATGCCATGAGAAACATGACAGTAACAGTAAAGAGATGAAATGTAACTTTTTAATGATACAAACAGTTTATTTGCTAAGGTGCTCTTGTACCTTTTTTAGTATACAGCTTTGCTGTATTGTGTAAAATGCACATCTAAATTTGACCATATCCGAATATAATGGAGATATTCTATAGACGAGGACCTTTGGTGGATTTGTGACACAGGTCAAGTCAGGTAGATTCATAACATCAGTCGACCGGGTGCTATATAGCACCACTTTAATCCTGAAACAACACCTGCTTGATGAATGTGGATGTGACCTGCTGTTTAATTATGACTGTGGTGCTCCTGCTTGCTGATTGGCTGACTTGTGTAATGGCGTCTCCTTGTAAAGAAACCAGCAATTTCCTCCCCACAGGATAAGGTTGAGGAATCCAAAGATCTACAAAGATTCATTTGATTCACATGAATACCAACAAGGGTTAGCGGTAAAAATTTGTGGGAAAATAGGATAAATAAATCATAAGTAATTCTATTAAATGATCTATGTATAACATCATGGGTTTAGTATTTTCATATACCAAGGTGACCAGACGTACCACTTCCTGGGGACATGTTTAGCACAGGATGTGCTCCTCCGATTGATCGTTGTATGACATCAAAGTACTGCGAAAGCTATAGAGCAGAGCAGGCAGCTCCATGCTTTCAAATCGCTCTTGCGGTACTTTGATGTCATACAACGATCAATCGGAGGAGCACAAACAACCAACACCTGGTTATTTTACGCAATTTAGAAATCCTGTGCTGAACGTGCCGCCGGGAAGTGGCAGTCTGGTCACCTTATCATATACATTACAATCCTCTTACCACGGAGGAATTGAGGCGGCCCATTAAGGGGATGTGCCCAGCAGTGCAATTGTTTCCTGTTTTCTTACATATGTCATTTAGAGACACAAGTGTATTTGGCCTGGTTGACAATTTCACATCTGTGAGGCCTTTTCCCCATGCAGATGAACACACCAGCCAGAGAAAAGCGAAGATCCCAGTTAACAGTAGATCCTAAAGAGAGTAATACATGTATATTGAAATATATAAATTATTAAATGTATTATAAATAATATTATTATTGTTCTAATATGCCAGTCAAATGTTTGGAATAATTAAGATTCTTAATGTTTTTGAAGTCTTGCGTTTACCATGGCTGCACTTATATAATTAAAAATACCGGAAAAAACCCTCTAATGAAATGAAATATTAAGACAATTTAAAAGAACTGTTTTCTTTTTTTATTTTAATTTGACATTTAAATATTTTACATTTGAATATATTTTACTTCAGTCTTTAGTGTCACATGATCTTTCAGAAATAATTCTAATATTCTGATTTGATGCTCAAGAAACCTTTCTGATTATTATCAGTGTTGAAATCAGTTGAATATTTAATGTGGAAACGGTGATCACATTTTATCAGGATTAATTTTTTTGATGAATATTAAGTTCAAAAGAACTGCATTTATTTTCTTTTGTAACATTATTTCTTTCTTTATGGTCACTTTTGCTCAATTTAACGTGTTTTTGCTGAAAATACTAAAAGTATTAATATCTTCTTTTAATCTTATACCACAAATGTTTTAATGGTAGTGTATGACGGCTTCCATAAAAGATATTTAGCAACAAAAACTGTTTTCAACATTGATAAAAATAATCAAAGTTTCTAGAGGACCAAATTAGTACATTAGATTGATTTCTGAATAATCATATGACACTGAAGACTTAAGTAATTGCTGCTGAAAATCCAGCTTTGCCATCGCAGGAATAGTTTACAGAAAATAAGCATACAAGACTTCTTTCAGAAACATAAAAAAATCTTAATTATTCCACAAGTTTTATGTTAATAAATGTTATCTATGCACCAATGTTATATATTGAACACTCAAATGCCTTTACTTAATCCACAGGACACTTTGTTTGGAATAACAGTGGCAGCTGTTGTCAAAAAAAACCACCCCGTTTTTTCATTTACACACAAGTGGAACTCTTCACACCCACACGGTTCAGAAACAGCTCACAAAGTTCATACAACGAAGTAATGCTGAAATCCAGCATAATATTAAACAGGCTAATATAATGACTGCCAGGAAGTGTATAAATTAACCTATCAGACAAGCAGTGGCTGGCATTCATTTCCCACACAACGTCTGAGTCAGCCATTGAATATAAAAAGGGATATGAATTTAAAGGCATGCACAGACATAGTGGAGGTTTACGAACGCACACAGAACTCTTAAAATAGATACAGTGTTAACCTGAATCTATAGACACTCACAATGTTGGGGCCACGAGGAGATTCACGGTAGACGTGCTGGTAACCCAGATACAACACAAGAGTAGCTGTGCTGTACAGGAAAGCCAGAACTCCAATAGCTACAAAAAACTCAGCGGAAGATGAATAATCTCCAGTCAGTTGTTTGGTTTTAGACACTGTTCCGTTGACTTCGCAGTCTGGGACACTGTAACTCTGGGTATTCAGCCTTTGTAACAAAGAATAATAAAAAAGGAAATTCTGAAAAATATATTTATTAAAAACAATGCGTTTCATATGTAGGTGTTAATCATATTGTTTACCTAAACGGATAGCTGAAGTTTACATTTATTTCTTTGCTGGCACTGTACTTGCACTGGATGTTGAAACTGGTAGAGCCAGAATAACCCCCAGTTGTAGCAAAAGCAAAAATAGCAAATATCTGTAAAGACAGTTAGTGAAAACATAGAGGTGGAATGAATGAATGAATGTTTAAAGGAATAATATAGTAAAAACTGAAAACAAAGGAAGCGTGCACATAATTAAGCAGAACTAAACCATGCAGCATATGAAGAAATGCGAATCATTTTCAAATAGTCTGAATCTTCATTAAAAGCCTTACAGTGCATTCTGCTTCCTCTTTTTAATGGTATCTTTTTCAAAAGAGAAACGCTTATTGTGGGTTTTAAACGCCTTAACATCTGTATTATGGTAATATCTGGTGCTTACCTTAAATAAAGAGAATGATAGCGGCATGGTACATAATTTGTGACTTCAGTTATGAGAATAATGTTGTCAGTTTTTTCTAATAACTTTTAATGTACCTACACAGAGTAGCTTAAAATCATAAGTACATTAACTGAAAAGCACGTACCCATTCCAGGACACGTATAAATCCCAGAGGCTCTTTCAGAGGGCTGAGATCGAACAGAAACCCGCTCATCATGCTCTGCAAATAAAAAAGCATCAGTAGCGCTCCATCAAACAACCGTTACAACTGTCGGGAAATGGTGCGATAGCCATGCGAGGTTCTCGAAAACTCTTTTCTCACCAGTTTCATCATATCTAAAAAAAAGTTGCATGTTTAGTTTGAGCGAATTGCAGTGTGTAAACCATGAAGTGCTGAGAGTTTTGCTGCACTGAAGAAAAAGGAAGATTGAGAAAGATTACCTTGTCTAGTCCCCAGACAAAAAACTGCTATCAGACAAAATTGCCAAAGTTCCTTTCCCTTTTCTTGTGTCTGCGACATGGTTTAGACCACGTGATTCGTGACGCGCTACAATCACCCAGACAAACTGACTGAGGCATGGGCGAGCTCAAGGAAAAAAATTACTATAAAACTTTCCGATACCTCGAGAGCATTTTGAAAGCATAAGGAACCATCTGTATGGTATTTTGATGTCATACACCGATCGGTCTGCACACGCAAACAAAGCCAAAACCTAGATATTTTAGGCAATATAGAAATCCTGGCCAGGACGCGTCCTGGGAAAATGGCATGTATGGTCACCCTAGTCAATGGTTACCGTCAACTGTTTGGTTACCAGCATTCTTCAAAGCAGGAGTTTTGTGTTCAACATTTACATTTACATTTAGTCATTTACCAGACGACATACAAATGAGGACAATGGAAGCAATCAAAATCAACAATTTTATAAAAGTATAACAATATATATATATATTCAGAAGAAAGAAGCTTATACAGGTTTGAAGAGTGAATCACTTATTACAGAATTTTCATTTCTAGGTGAACGTTCCCTTGTTTCCCATGTTGTGTAAAGCAATGTTGAGTGAACATCATTAACATACAAATAGGATGGCCTTAAATTCACAACTGATGGTGAAAAAGAACAGTGTGTATTTGGGAGTTTCTTGTCAGTAAAGCTAAAAGCTTTTTTGTTTTTATCTTAACTTTGAAAAGTTGCCTAGCTCTCAATGGATAGGAGGTGCCCAGACAGTCACTACTGAGGAATTCAGGTCACACCATCTTTACTTGTGTGACAGGTTTTTCCACCTATGCAGAATTGTACTATGCACTGCACAGTTAAAAAGGCATTACTGTAGTCACATTGGGCTGACATTTAGAATTATAATCTTCCTTGCAAAAGCAATGACGTCCATACTTCACTTCTTTAGTGAATAGCAAAATGTTATCCGCTAATAGAAGAGACAGGATGATATGAATAGGAAGCACGTGGCTCTCGGCCAGCAGTGCAGATCAGAATTACAGAGAACTGATGGGAGTCACAATAAGCCTTTTTTTCTGTGTCACATGGTTTGGGATCATGGGATAGGCTATTCCATGCCAGAGCCTGCCATAATCACATGTACACTCACAAAATAAGTGATAATGTAATAGAATATTCTATGATTTGGTACATAAATACACTGTAAGAATGTATGTGAAATGTTCTTTAACTTTAACACATTGAATGCTGAAATCTAAACTGCTAAACAGTTTAAAAGGACAAACAGTGTTAAAACTGATCACAACTAAGCAACTGACCCTTGATGCACATTGGAAGACTACACTAAATTTTCGACTGTGATCTCACTGAGAATGTATTGACAATATGAGTCATGCATTTGCTATTGTTTAGACACATGAAATTATTTTGCTGGCGTAAAAATCAAAGACTGGGTAAAAAATAAGTAGAGCATGTTTGCAGCTTGTTATTGGACTTGTTACGAAACTGCTTGTGCGGCCATTTTAATGAGGAAGATCATGCATGGCTTTGGTCGCATTATTTGAGAAATGCATGGGCAATAAAAAATACTCGAATAATTTGAAAAAGCATAGCAGCATATCTTGCAACATCTTTACAGGTAAACTTTTTCATATTAAATAGGTCTAAATGAAAACGAGATCCCTGACATTATGAGTGTATAGCCGTTATATTGATATATCACCGAAGATAATTTTACATATGAAACGCAAGACTCGTGTTTAAACCACAGACTGTAGGTTTAAACATGATTCTCTCCTCTGAAGTGTGACGTGTCAAACTAACTTGACCGCACGGGCTCACAGCAGCAGTATGTCCAACCTCAGACCAATCAGAAAATCGCACCAGTCGCTGCAGCCAATCAGGTGCAGACCCTGCAAGGTGCATTCTTTTCAACGTTATTTATTTATTTATTTTGGTTGATCTTTTTTTTGTTGATGTGTTTATTACGAAATACTGTCAAGGATACAGTCTGTTAAAGCAACTTGGTTGGTCTGTAATTTTATTTGCGAGCTTGGGAATTATTATCAGTTGTCACTGATCAAATAAAAAAGGGCGTTGATGTGCTCTCTGATAATATGAGCGGTAGGGACCGTTCGCTGTCACAGGCAGTCTGTTTTTGTTGATACCGTCAGCAGCCGCTCAGGAGGGAGACACAGAGGAATTAATGCGTATTTAAACAGCAACACAGTCGTGTTGGAAATACACTGAAGACGAAAAATGAGAGGCCTAGGATACTTTATTGCACTTTTATTCTTTCCCATGACATTTGGTGTGGATTTCCATGTGGAACCAAGACCGTATAACGCGGACCGGGTGTATGTGAAGTCTCCCGTAGCCGCCAGAAGTCTAATCGGGACGGGATCGGAGGCAGATATTTCTCGTATCCACCATCACATCCAGAAAAGGAGCGCAGATGATGGACCAGACTCCTGTAATGGGTTGGATGGATTTGAGACCAAGTTAACTAGCAATACGCACAACGTAAGTTCACTCGAAGCACCGATGCAGCGATGCAGTTGTGTCTCAAAACCTAGGGATCTTCCCCTAACCCTAACTAGACAGCATTTTTGACAATATGTGCGTTCAATCCGAGAGTTCTCATGGAAAACCGTTGAAATATTTATACCTTAAAACTAACTAGTAAATGTTTTTATGTTATGTTTTATGCAAATGTTCATGTTAACACTTATTTAATTTCTAGTGAGTAACTCAGTTAATGACATAACTCTATGATGATTGGTATCAAATGAAAATGAAGTAATATTTAATATTAGGCTATGTAATGAATAAGGACTAGTAACTAGTAAGTTAACAGTACAAATAGTACTAGTTGTTTCTAAATAATACATGTTTAAATGTTCTTTAAAGCTCACTGGATTATGTAAATAATTGTAAAATGTGACTGAAACTGCAAATTTTCCATTTTCACTAGAACATTTTCAAAACAAAAGTACTGTTTGAGTGATACAAAGACGCATAAGATTGTATTGTTCTTATTTTTTCTGTGGTTACAATCATAGCCCTCAGAATACGTTTTCTTGTTCATTTCTGTTTTTATAACTATAAAATATTAATGGTTGTGTTTGAAGTTCCTCTTTGACAAGTAGGTGTAGTTTGGATTGCATAAGTTGTAGAACCAGTTAAGCTGGTATGACAACCTGCTTAATTATCCTTTTCCCAACCAGCTAGGCCTTTTTAATGCACGCTAATTTTTACTGATCTATATACTTTATAATACAAGCAAGTCTTGATATTACAAAATGGAACAGTGAATAACACTGACACTAGTCATTGCAATGTAAAATGACTTCCTTTTCTCAGAAATATTTTTGGTTGCTTCTTGTCAGATGAGCTGAAACAGTCAAGATGTGTTTGAGGGTTGGTTGAAGCTTCATCATCTCACCTCTACTTCACCAACCCTCGGATAAACTTCCTGTGCTTATTACTCACAGATGTGTTAACCTTTTTAAAACAGTTCTACTGTGGTTTGTCTTTCTGTAGAAGGTTATCATGAATTTGCAAGAGGTGACAGGAACTACCACAGTTGGGTTAATCAACAGAAAACAGTCTCAAAGTGTTTTAGGATTATACTCGCACTGACCATTCGGTCTTTATATAGTGTTTTGGATATATGTTCAATTCTAGACAGGGTTCAGAAACACTAGATGGGGTTAGAAGATTTAACACTTATTTAAAGGGCCACAGATGAAGCCCAGAGCAAGAAAGTGAAAGTATTTTAGTCACTTTGCTTCATTCTTTCCAGGTGTCCTGTGGAGAAATGAGAGAAGAGATAGTCAGAAAACTAGCGATTTGAGATTTTCATGAGACACATTTGCTTTAACAGCGTAATGGAACTATGTCATTTGACTTTTTAAACAGATCAATGATACATCATCTTTTTAAAAAAACACAAATGACAAAACATCTAAACCAGTAGTTTTCAAAAAGGGGTTTGGAAGTTTAATAGTTTATTTAAATAATGTACGTTTTAAAAAATGAACTTTTAAAATGGCAAAAATCAAGATCTAAATGGAAATCATTTATTTTTCACCCCAAAACATGCAAAACCTGAATCTTAAATCTTATAGAATAACAAGTTAAATTGTTTAATGATTTGAATATATCAACACCCCCAGTTTCTGTTATTAAAAATTTGTCATAATTACAGCAGAAATACCATAGGAAAATATCTTCAAATAGTGTGTTATCTTTACAATGGGGGGCCTCCAATCAAAAAGTTTGAGAGACACTTGCAGTATCTAAACTAAACCGATGAAAATATAATACCGTGTTCATATACCATCTTCAGTTTCACAATTTATTCCAGTTTTTTTCATCTCTGTAATTTGTCAGATCAGTCTTCATTGCACTATTTTGAGTTCCACGGTTAATTGTTTTGAATATAGTTGCTTGGTTTCTGATTCAGTGTTTTGCTTAAGGTTAGCATGTGTTTTGCATAGGCTAATAGTATCTTTCTAGGACATCATGCAATAAAACCCTTAATGTGTGTAAAAACTCTTATAGTTTGTCCGTGATGATGCACTTTCAGTATTGCTTTTGTTTAATATTAATAAAATGTGTTTCTTTCAGTTTACCTTTCAAGATATCAGTCGGTCTGTGTCTCTGGCCTGGGTGGGGGATGGAACTGGGGTGAGTTTCACTTTTGATTAATTATGTGTACACACTATCATATGCTTACCGTTCTGAGATGAAGTCGCCGGAAGAACCTTCCACTATGCTACAAGTTTCATTCAAGGTTAGATGAGGACATTTTTAGCTTAAGGTTTAAATTTAGACTGTCTAGATAATCTTCCCAGATCTCTTTGGCTGTTCACAAGGCTCACAAAGAAACATAAACACAACTATCAATATGGCCAAATGCAAACTCATAACCAGTTTGACCTCTCTCATGCCCCAGTGCACATTCAAGGCCATGTCGAGAAGTCCTTATTTTTACTGCCCATTACTGCAATAAAAACAATACATACACTACCATTCAAAACTTCAGAGTATGTAAGATG